CCGGGGCTTGCCGGCCAGTGTGACTCTCATGCAGGTGATTATCGGGGTGTGCTTTCTATGTAATGTTCCCTCAACCCTATCCCCACCCCTCCAGTTTCTGTGCCTAGCAGAAATCATGCTGCTCTCCTTGATGAAGCATTGAGTTTCCTATGGAGGTGTAGGAAGAGCACGATTTGGCTCACGTCAAAATACTTTGCAGTGAAGCTGCACGGAAGAGGATTTTAGGCTTCCATTTGACGTTTCAGACAACGCCTGAGTGTTACAGGATCCTCTTGCTTGTTAAAAAAGCACCAGATGAGAAAGGCTACTGGTTATTAAGGGACACTTTTTACATTAGCACAGAGAGGGTGGCTTGAGATAAATTCAGTGTAACGTAGGTGTGTTTGTAAGCCGTGAAAGGGACCATCTCTCTGCTGGCGACATATGTTTTCTGGTATGGATTTTGTTCTAAAAAAAGGATGACTGGCATTCGGTAGAATCATTCCAAAATTCACCTGGAAGGCATCCACATGGTGCCTTGTTTTCTCCTGACATTCTGGGCACCACGAGGAATTATTCTTGTGTTCAGCACTAGCAGGAGACTTTTCCTGAACACCTGCTCCTCTTTGGAGTTGTGGGTGCAAAGGGGTCAGAGTGACCCCGTCTTCATGGAGCTTTCGGACACCATGGGGACAGTGTGGCACGATGTCGGGCTCGGGTGGGATGGAGGCTTTCCCCAGAAAACAGCTGCCGATTCCAGGGCGGTCCTCGACCCCTCCTCCCTCTGTTCCTCCACGTCATGTCTGAATTAAGGCTGTTCTATCATAGCGGGGGTGTCATGTTAACTGGAAGTGTGCTTTTGTAAATAAATTAATGGTACATTTGCCCAGGACAGCGAGATTTGATTTGATGAATCCAGTGTGGAAAAGGAGAAGGGGCTTGGCGGGGTGGGGACATGTGTGATGGCAGCAGAAAGGAGCAGCCATGAAAGCTGGTGGGATGGAGGGGTCGCGCCCGCATTTGCATGGGGTCTGTCGATGTTTGTGCCACTAGACCTGAACCTCTGTCTCCACTTCTAAAACCTGCATGGTGAGGAAGCCCCTGATGGGCCTGAGTTGTTACTTCCCATGGCCATTGCTGGGAAGGGCCCCAGACGCCTCTCCTGGCCGGTGACGGCCCCAGGACTAGACACTGGCTTCGTCCTGAGCTCTGCGAGGGGCTTGGGCTCCACACACAGCAGGTACCTGCGCATGCCTTTGGACGTGAGATGTTGGCGCTTGGCTTGGAGGCCACCGCGATCTGGGTGTGGTCAGGACTGGCTCATCCTTTGGGGAGAGAGCACCTGCCCGGGGGCTTCTCTGAGGTGCATAGCCCTGCAGTGCCCTCACAGGATGCCCTGTCCTGCGGGGACTTCCTGCCATTCCCCTGGACCCTCAGGTGTGGGAGCCAAGTGTGGTGTGTGTGTGTCCCGGGTGAGGGTGCTGAGGACACCACGTGCCTGCTCGTGCGAAGACCCGAGGCACTGCATGGGCTCATTTCCAGGGGCCTGTTGGCATCTGGGGGCCTGTGGGTGTCTTTCCACTGGCAGGAAATAATGGGTGGCCCATGTTACCTTTTTTGTCTTTTTTTTTTTTTTGCCAAAAAGCCCTAATGCCAACGTTGCAGTCCCGCTGTGGGAACCACCCATCTCAGGCTCACTGGCCCTTCTGTTTCTGGACTGTTGCAGTGTTGTGTTGGGATAACTGTGTTAACTTCGTTTGAATTTTCTTCCTGTTCCTTTGGAATAAGTGTCGATAGTTTGTGCTGCTTGTTCAACCCAGAGGCAAGGGTGTCCTTTAGGCCTGGCAGAGCACAGCGGTGCAGGGAGGTGCTGGGCCTCGGCCTCCCTTGTCCGCAGCCTCCCTTGTCCGCAGCCCTCACTGCACGTCTGCTCTTCGCTCCTCGTGCACACGGCCGGGGTCACGGGCTGCTCACTCTGCTGTTTGAGATCCTCTGAAAAGGAGATCCACTGAAGGGAGATTGGGGGTGTGCGGCTGATTTTAAATAGGAGGAAATGATGGTAACAGAATGAGCAATGCCTAGCACTTAGTCTCAGGCCTGAGAAATTGTGTTTTAGAAGCAAGGTATCCTCAACTCCGGTTTTCTTCAAATTAAATCTTTTAAAGGGTCCACAAATAACAAATAGTTAAAGCCTAAAACTATGTAACAGAGGGCCTAGAGCCCAAGCCACTGCCACCTCTGATTCCAAGACACCTCAGCAACTTGGTCCTCCTCCTCAGAGAACCCCGCTTCTGCTCCTCCCTCCACGCTCCTCTTCCTCTCCCTGCCCCTCCCTTTCCCTTGGACAGCCCTCCTCTTCCCCCACTTCCTCGGACAGCTTTCTTCCTCCTCTTCTCCCTGCCTGTCCTTGGGCAACCTCCTTGGAACTCCGGTTGAAATTCACTGGTCTGTGGGGCCGCCCATTTGACAGACGAGCATGCTGAGGCCAAGGCACAAGTGAGTGACTCAGACCCGCCAGAGGCTGACCCAGAGGCCGTACCAACGGGTTGTCCTAATGCAAGAGAAGCAATGATGCGGCTTCACTGATCTCCAGGGAAAGCAGGTCGATAACAGGTTATAAACATGGGAACATTTTGGAAAAGCCGTCGTCCACCTGTCAGCTCCATCTCTCCTGCCCGGAAGATGTAGGGAGAACCTGCCTTCAGCCCACCCTCATCCCGTAACAGGACAGAGGACAAGGGCAGAGACCCAAGTCCTGTCAGTGCCCTCAGGAAACCCCCGTTTCCTCCTCACGGTGGAAGTGGAAACCATCCCACTGGATGATCTTCCCGGGGAGACCCTCCACCCTGAAAGCGAGGAATCTGGTGTGAGCGCACACACATTCTTGGTGCCATCACTTTCTGCAGCTGAACACTGCGTACGTGGCCCGTTATTCTTGCTAGTCCGGTGTTACTGGGTCCTGGGAGTTTCTGTGGGCTGATGGCAAGTGTTTACCATTGTGTTTAGAGAGAACAGAACTTTTTTGTGTCGAAATCACATGATAACCATTGCCATGTGATTCCTTGGGTTGATTGGGGTGGGGGATGCTCAAGTTTTTTCTGAGGTCTAAGTGCTTGTTTGAGACAGTCTCACTTTGTCACCCAGGCTGGAGTGCAGTGGTGCGATCTTCGCTCGCTGCAACCTTTGCCTCCTGTGTCAAGCAGTTCTCCCTGCCTCAGCCTCCCGAGTAGCTGGGATTATAGGTGTGTGCCACCACGCTTGGCTAATTACAAAAATTTCTAATACAGGAAGGGTTTTGCTGTATTGGCCAGGCTGGTCTCGAACTCCTTACCTCAAGAGATTGGCCCACCTTGGCCTCCTAAAATGCTGGGATTACAGGCTTGAGCCACTGTGCCCGGCCCGATCCTGACATCTTTTAAAGCTGCCTTCATGTACCAAAAGCCAGTCTATGTTTGAAAATCAGCCTTGTTGAAGAGCCTAAGAGGAGAGGGATATACTTCAGCTAGGTAAATAACTATGCATATGTTAAAAATATGGGCCAAAATCTATCCCAAATATTAACTCTTCTGCTTTGCGTTTTATATCCATTAATGGTTATTCTTTCAGTATTAAGATTTTTAAAGATTCTTTTGATAATTGTGAACAAATTACTATTAAAACTCAGCTGCATTTGTAACACTTTAAAGAACTAACTGATGACATTATTTTTCTCGGAGGCATTTTGGATAGTTACATAATTGTTTATCTCTTAGCCAGAAATCTTTTTTTTTTTTTTCCCAGAGCAGAAACCTGAAAAGAAACATTCCTTTGCATTAAGTGCTATTTCACTGTGTGACAATCAAGTTTTGAATGTGAGAACAAGATCATCGTGTATTTTTGGGATAATTCTTGCTTAATAGTGATAATGCTAAGTGTTAAAATTATGGAACAGTTTGTTTCTTTGAAAATTACTATTTGCCTGCTCACCAGATGGGAGCTGATGAGAATGTGGATGTAAAAATTAAATTGTATTTAGCTTGTATAAAAAGTTTAAAAAAGCTTTTTTGTTTTGTGCTACTACTGAAGTTGCTTAGCTGTGGAAATGAGGTGATTGCAGGCACCTAGAATTTGATCTCCTTCACTTCCACGATGGGAAGAAATTCTCCAAGAAGCACAGGAATCTGACTTTCTGATATTGAGACTCCTAGGCGTCAAGCCCCATGGAAGGGGTGGTGATTACATGAGCGTTGGCGTTGATGTGGGCATCCTCCAAGCCGGACGCAGGGAGCAGGGAAGGGCAGAAAGAACAGGCCCCTCAGGAGCCATGAGAAAATAAAGTGTTGGCAGCAGTGGTGAGGGTTGGTGTCAGGGGCCAGGAAGAGGTGGTGAAGGGGGAGCATGTGCCTCAAGGCAGCCCTGGAACCCGCAGTCCCTGCAGTGAGGTCTGATCTGCAGGGGACATGGACGGCCAAGCGGCAAGGCCCACAGACAGCCTGGACTCTGCTGCCTCAGAACTCTGGTGGACGTTGCAAACGGCCCCACAGGGTTGCAGTGCACATTCCTCGGACAGAAAGAAGACGCTTGGAACTGTTCCGGCACGAAGCCAGTGCCCTGTGAACAGTGGCTGCTGCTGTCGTGACTGAGTGCCGTCCAACTGGGGACATTTGCTCTGCTCAGTTCACTGCCTTCAACAAGCTTGACGCATTGAACGAGGGCTCAGTCGATAATTACTCTGTAAATACTCTCTCCCGCTAGAGTGAGCAAAGCCCAGGGAGCGGGTGGTTCTTCAGTATTACTCAGGTGTTTGTGGCAGGGCCAGCTGTGCGGCTGCCAGAGCGAATGTGACCAGGAAGCCTCTGTCCCCCCGAGGTGGCCAGCGATCCTGTTACATGTGCCATAGGCAGAAGGTGGGCACTGCTGGGGAACTTGCTCATGTTCCTGTTTTCTGATTGGAAATTCAAGGTTTCTGAGCATCCTACTTCGAATTTGTACATTGCTGAGACTTGTACACATTTCAACGCTTGTTTTTCTCTGCTTTTCAGATCTATACAACCTGGCGTTTGGCCGTGGCTTCCAGGACAGGCTGGATGCAGAGTGAAGTCCTCTCCTCACTGTCAATGTTTGCAGATGTCTTCATGTATAAACTTCGTATTTCTTGTATTTCTTGAGACTTTGAATTAGGTTTTTACTTAACTGGACTTTTAAAATTGCCATGCACATAACTCTACCAGTTAGAATCTTGAGCTAACATGGGTTTTTGGTTTTTGGTTTTTGGTTTTACTTTGATGAATGTTTAACATTTGCATGCTGGATGTGGGGGTGGAGGTCATTTATCTGCTTTTCATTGCCTTCTTGGTTATACTTAGTGACTTTCAGGTAAGGTGTGGAAGGCGTGGTACAGGGTGAATTGCAGGCCGCACTGTGGCGCCGTGGAGGACAGGTGCGGGCTGCAGTGGTGTGCACAGTGGATGAGAGACAAGAGGAGACTTCCATCCTTGAGGGAAACACACAACAATTTAAAAAAACTGATCGTCTAGCTTACATGAGGTCCAACAAATTCAGTTTGCAAAGTTTAACTTCCAAGTTAATTTAGTAATTTTTCCCCTAAGTCATTAATTTAGTAGCTTATGTTTAAATATATTTCTTTTGTCTAAAGGAGGCCATAAATTCTAAAATGAATGACTAAACATGTAATAATTTAGGCATACAGCACCTGAAGGGAAAACTGCCAGTATGCTAAAATATTGGATACAGATGCTTTTAAAAAATATAATGTAGCATTCTTACAATGCATGTGCTCTTAGCGTGTAACTTGGTGGGTAGTTCTGAACTATATTTGGTGGAATGTGTATCTTGAATACTTGAGGCTACCACTGCAGATGTGTGTGTGAGATGTATAAATACTGAATGTTATTCTCCCTTCCCTTAAATGAAAAACATTAGCTCCCTTTTATTTTCATTTTTATTTTTTATTTTTTGAAGTGGACTCTTGCTCTCGTTGCCCAGGCTGGAGTGCAATGGCACAATCTCGGCCCACTGCAATTTCTGCTTCCCGGGTTGAAGTGATTCTCCTCTCTCAGCCTCCTGAGTAGCTGGGACTACAGGCACCCGCCACCACGCCCAGCTAATTTTTGTATTTTTATTAGAGATGGAGTTTTGCCATATTGGCCAGGCTGGTCTTAAACTCCTGACTTCAGGTGATCTGCCCACCCCGACCTCCCAAAGTGCTGGGATTACAGGCGTGAGCCACCGTGCCCAGCCAGCTCCCTTCTGTAATGATTTTTTATACAGTTGTTTTTGCTTTTTGTTTTTTTGAGACGGGGTCTCACTGTGTCACCCAAGCTGGAGTGCAGTGATGCAAATCTAGGCTGACTGCAGCCTTCACCTCCTGGGCTCAGGTGATCCTCCCACCTCAGCTTCCTGAGTAGCTGGGAATAGACACATGTCACCACGCCCAGCTAATTTTTTTTTTTTTTTTTTTTTTTGTATTTTTAGTAGAGACAGGGTTTTGCCATGTTTTCCAGGCTGGTCTCGAGCTCCTGGGCTCAAGCGATCTGCCCGCCTCAGCCTCCCAAACTGCTGGGATTACAGGCGTGAGCACCACATCTGGCCCATTTTTTTTTTTTTTCCTTCCAGGATTAGAAGTCGACTTTCAGAAAACCCTTCAACCTTGCAAACTTAATTTTCCATAACAATATGCCTCTAGGATAAAAACAAGACAGAAAGAAAGTATGTGTGGACTGCAGTTAAAAATTTTCTACACAGCATAGCTTAGGAGAGTTGACATTTACAAAGAGCAGGAGGCCCCTTCAGTGCCTTCTAGGCATTGGGAATGGCGGTCTGTGGGCGACCCTAACGTGTGCGGCGTCCTGAGACTTGATCGTGGTGCTCACGCTTTTCCCGAGGGCCCACCGGGAGTACCAGAGACTCTTCTTCTGCAGTCGGCCAGCCAGGCAGCAGCTGCTGGAGAAGGAACAAACAGTAAAAGACAGATGTACACGGTGTTGTTGTGGCAGAGAGGTTAAAACCAGGCTCACTCTGTTCTTACAGTTCAAAAAAAAACTAATAATGAAGTCCTTGAATATGTATTGCATTTCAGGATTTTAAAGCAGTTATGGGTGTGTCTGTGTGTCTCTCTAGCTCCCGTTCGGGTGCTCCCTGTGAAGAGAGCTCAGAGACGCCACCTTTCCTTGCTGAGGTGACAGGGTCTGGAGAGGTGTGAACCCCGTGTTGGGGGGGGGGGGTGACTGACCTGGGGGGAGGCTGGGTCAGCGGTGGGGATCCACCCCCACTCCACATTTCTGTAGGGAATCCACAGTTCTAAGTCTTTATGATATGGGTAACATGAACCTGGAAGAGGTGTTATTTTTTAAGAAGTAAGTGCCATGCTCTTTTTTCCTCATACTTCCTCATGTTTAAGCAGCATTGAAGGATAAGGCACTAGTAGCATGTTGGTTTGGAAACAATCTTGTTGGTTATTTTACCTTGAATCTGATACTAAGGTTGCCTGGTAACAGAAGTTTTCCTTTAACAACATGGAACTCTGTTGAATCTGTTGCCCCATTGGCTGAGCAGTCTGAAGTCAGTGCCCTGGCAGCTAAAGAGGCCTTGGAGGAAGGCCTTGGAGGAAGCCGCTGGATGGGCAGGAGGCACCCCCCTTGATTGAGGGAGAGAGGTGCAGTTTGCAGGGACCCCACGTGGCACTTGTGGCTCTCTCCTGCCCCCTGCTGGCTGCCAAGCAGCCTCGCCACAGTGTGCTCAGCGTGAATGTTCATGGGGCAGGCCAAGGCTTTTGTTGCAGAAACACTGACTTCAGAAACCGCAGGCTGTGTGTGTTGAGCATGGCAAGAAAGACTTACGTGTGTCTTAAACCTCTTGAACAAAGCAAGTTGATGTTTCAAATGCATCTCCAAGGCTAATGACTTTGCTATGGTCAATATTCAGGAGAAAATAGGGTTTGATGAAATAGAAGCACAGGAGTGGCAAGTGAGGTGCTTGTGCCCCGTATGACTAAGCAATGTCCTGGCCGTTCCACACCATGGCCTCTGAGCAGCCAGCGTGCAGATACTGGGTCAATTTAGATGGGACTCTTGGAACTGTCGGCCGTCCAGGAGAAGTACGAGGAGTTGTGCCTATGATCATGGTTCCCGCTACTGTGTCCAGCAATGTGCCGCGTTCCGATTTCAGCATCAGGGCAGACACAGCCCTGAACACTATCACTGAGGTAAGTCCCAGTGCGCCCCGCCAGGTGGGCGCCCGCTGACGCTAACCCGATGGCCCCGGCCATTATTATCTACCAGTGCGCTAGAAACAGCCTTTTACAAATACCCTGAATGAGAGCTTCTCGTTCTTTTCTCCCCCCTGGAAAAGTAGGTTTTTAGACTGAACATTTTTGATCTCACTCCCAAAAAAGTTTTATCGCCTCTTCTGTGTGGCCACCGGCCCGGACTTAGCGTGGCCAAGACCCCGGATGTGCCCGTGAGTACCTGCAGCGCTGAGGATGGCTGGGCCGCAGTCTCCTGTGATTGCACCAGCATTAAAATCCGCTTTTTTTTTTTTTTTTAAATGTTGAGCCTAAATTTTCTTTGAGCCTCCAATTCCCATTATGAGGAACCCCTACCTTGATGCTGAGGGTAGAAATTGAACTGAATGTTTTATAATTGTAGTCATTGTCCTGAACGCACCACTGCATTTGTTCTCTTTGGTCTTGGCTGTTGACCTCATTTTCCCCTTTGTAAACTGGGGATGTTAAATTACATCTAAGGCAATATTGGGACTAGTTTAGTTTTTTTGCCAAGAGACAATACTGAAACATACTCTTCTGTTTGTTTTTTCCTTTGTGAGACAAGGTCTTACTCTGTCACCCAGGCTTGAGTGCAGTGGTGTGATCTCGGCTCACTGCAGCCTCGACCTCCTGGGCTCAGGTGATCCTCCCACCTCAGCCTCCCGAGTACCTGGGACCACAGGCACATACCGCTATTCTGGGCTAAAAGAAATATATGCCTATCCTCATGTTTGTGTGTCACACTTGGTGATTCACGTGGGAATCTGAAGATCCGTACCTAACGCAGGAAGCATTTCATTTTTTTTAAAACTTGATGTCTAAAATTTTCCAGAAATTCTCAAGTTTTGATTTTTCTTGTGCGACTTAGTTCTCACGAATATTTTTCAAAGGTTTTTTTTTTTTTGTAAACCCTTGGCATGCAACTTATTTTGAGCACTGGTAATTAAAATAACAAGATTTTAACATACAGCTCAAATGGTTAGAAATGCTTAGCACTCATTTCTTGCTTTTCTGAGTCTTAAACTTTCTTCACTTTCTTTGTGAAGGAAACCTGCCCAGGTTTTCCCGTGTTCACTGGCTTTGGGGGCAACTTTCACCTTATTTTTGGCAGTCACTAATCTCTGACCTAGACATTGCTTCTGTAATCCTGGTGACGGGCGTCACGGCTTTGCTGCTGTGGGTCCAGCCCGGCTCTGGGCTGACCTTCACGCTGGGAACGTGAACATGAGTGTCTGTTTCACAGAGGGGGGATTCCAGCATGGCTTTCACTGCTCTTTCACCAGCTTTAGCTGGATTTTTGAGTCTGTGAAAGTTGGGTATGCAATGGGAGGGATTGAAGCTTCTTTTTTCCCTAATCGTTACCTAATTGGCGCTTGCCCAGAGGGAATGGGTGGAGAATTTGAGAGCAGTCACTGCAGTTAGCTGAGCATCTGAAGATGTGGGACAAAGCTGGTGTTGATCTCCCTGTGACGCTTTATTTTCAAGTTTCCACACAAAGCATAGATGCTTGTGGTATGTGATGTACACTTTCATTCAGGAAGAAAATCTCTCTTTAATTCCAGCGTCCTCTGCTATAAATAACATTTTTTTTTTAGATTGTAAATATGTAACAAATGTGTAGGGTCAAAATTTGAAAACCAAAACACGTGAGGCAAACACCCCACAAATGGTCAGTTCCACCCGCTTTGAGGGACTGTGTGATTTTATTATGCGATTGTTTTAAATTCAGTTTTTCATTCATTCGAGTTTCTGAAAGCTAGGTTAAATAATTTTGTTTCTTTTTTTTTTTTTTTTTTTTTTTTTTTTTTGGAGACAGGGCCTCACTCTGTTTCCCAGGCTGGAGTGCAGTGGTGAAATCATGATTCACTGCAGCCTCGACCTCCCAGGCTTAGGTGATCCTCCCACCTCAGCCTCCTGAGTAGCTGGGACTATACGTGCATGCCACCGTGCGTGGCTAATTTTTTGTATTTCTACAGAGACGAGGTCTCCCTGTGTTGCCTGGGCTGGTCTCGAACTTCTGGGCTCAAGCAATCCCCCTGTCTTGGCCTCTCAAAGCACGGGGGTTACAGGGATGACCACTGTGTCGGACCTTAAGTTAACTGATTACAATAGAGAAAGAACTGGAGCGTGTAGTTAGTTGAGCCTCCCGTTGGCCAGGCACAGCCACCTTAGTGCGTTTGTGTGTGTCCTCATTGCCCTTCTGATCCTGAGCTCCGAGGAATGAGGCTGTCTTGGGAGTGCTGTGGTTCTAGTCTCGTGATGGGTGAGTGACGCCGGCTGAGCTGATCGAGGTCACCCTGGCAAATGCTGCAGCTGCTCAGGAGTCGGGGCAGGGACGAGAAAGCCGCCGAGGATCCCTCCGTGGACCCCTGAAGGGAGAGGGACCGAGATGTGGACATGGCAGCTGTTTTCTCCAGAGCCCTGTTTACTGACGGCCAAACAGGCTGAATCCTGAGAAGGTTTGAATTTGGGTCTGAACTGGGCTCGTCTGGCCGTAGAACAGGA